CTGGATCGTTTGGTCCCTCCAGAACCAGAACCTCTTTGGTTGTCTACAGGATAGCTGTTGCAACAGAGAGAGAAATAAGGCTATTAGCTGTGAGGCCAGATTAGACTGTACAATCTCAATGTTAATGCAAATCATGTGTGTTTCTTGCAGTCCAGACAAAAACCTCAGTTCCAGCTTTAACTGTGTTTCTACGAGACCTCAACTCCTTGGTTTTAGTTCTCTTGCAGTGTTTCTTTTGGCCTACACCACCAGAACAAAGAAAAGCTTCTGGGGACTGGCAGAAATGCTATCATCCATCCCATCTCCCAGGCTGACAAGAACATGAGCCATCTCACCTCTCTGCCAGAGGCCAGGCGTCATGTCTGAGCTCAGAGCAGCCTCCTGGCTTCAGAGCTCCTGCAGCGATGCAAGCCACCACCCCTCCACGCTGAGGTCAGACTTGTGACACGCCAAGCAGGGATGTCTACCGTGATAAATCGCGCAAGGACTGGTGGGTGTGCCAGGAAAGCATATGCTCTGACCACCTGCTAGGAACAGATCTCTTCACCGGATTCCACGGCTCAGAGCGGGAGCGCAGCAGCCATGTCTCATAGCTCGCCGTGGGGAGTGAAGAGGAAGACGTGGAAACCCAACGGGCTCTTAAGGAAAACACCGATTCATGAGTGACTGAATTTCCCATTTAGGGAAGCTACGTTTATACCAGAAAACACTACTGCCCATAAGAGACTCTAATATCCTATGTACGTGTAAAGGAAGCCCTAAACTGACATCTCCTTCCACGGTAAGGCAGAAAAATAACGTACATTCGCCACAAAAACATCACAATTTTTAACAGTGCACTGTGCCGATCCCAGACAGACTACTGGAGATCAAACCTAGCTCCCAGGGTTCTTTAAAAACAACCACCAAAACAAAACCAGAGAGGGGAGATCTTTGTGGCTAGGCGGAGATCTAAGCAACTGCACAAGGCAGCGTAAGCTTCATCTGAAAGCTCGTTTCTGCTCTGCCCTAGAGGAACACGCTGCGGAGCGGAGTGCTTGGTCTCTTTGACACATCAGAAGAGCCTTTTCTGCAGCATTGCTGCCTTTGGATAAGATGGAGACAAGCTAACGCAGTCCTGTCTATCAGACATACTTCCTCCTGTTACTGCCTTTAAAAAAAAAAAAAGCTACTCTCTTGTTTCACCCTTTGTGTCTTGAGCCACTGCTGGACCATAATTCTCATCTCTAGAGGTGACTGGAAGTCATCATTTCATCCGATACAAAGCAGCTGCCCTGAACTTGCACTGGAGTCTCTGGGAAGAAGTCAGCTGGTATGCTCAAGTCCTTCAAATTTAACTACATCTCCATCTTCAGCGCTCACGTCGTGCATTTGTCAAAGGTCATAGGGCAAATGGTAACAAAAAACAGGCAAAAGAAGCCATTCCTTGCACAGCTCTATCAGGAACATAAGTCTACAGGCTCTGGAAGAATCGCGTTGGAAAACCCATGTGACAGAGTCAGACCATTATTTAAGACCCCGCTCTTCTCACCCAAGCCCATGCTCCCCTTCTGTATGGGAATGACGATGGTGCTGGGATTTACAGAGAGCTGTGCTGCCTGTGCCTCTGTCCCTGCCTGCAGTTGCACTTCCCCTCCAGACAGGAGCATTCTGGTTCCCATACAACACCCGTTAGGAAGTTATGCTGAACTATCTCAGCCTGTCTCATGTCATCCTTTTACACCACCTACTACTCCTTGGTGACAGAAGGGATCCCGTAGGCTTACCTAAATTCCACCGGGGGTGGAGGCAGGCTGTCATCTGGGAATGAAGGAGGTGGTGGCACAATAGAGTCAGTCTGTGGTGGTGGCGGGTAGCAGTTCACGTCCATGCTTTCGTTTGAACCGATGCTGCCATTCTGATACACCATGTTAGAGGGGTACCTGAGCGAAAGCAAGACAAGCAGTTTCTTTAGAGAGTTCAAGGCAATATCTAAAGCTCATTTTTCCCCTCACTCACAAGAGCTTTGTCTCCTGGAAGGGTTACAACAAACAACCCTGCAGCAGTTGAACCACCGAACGGCAGTGATGTCAACTAAGTGGATGGATCAACCTGCAAGATTTAGAAACAAGGTTTTCCAGCTTATCCCAGCGCAGCAAGACCTGCCTTTAGGTGGGACCTTATCAACCACCACAACAGAACACACAACCCAAAACCTTAAAGCAACATTTAAATAAAAAGAAGTCTCTATTTCTCAAAGCATCCTATATGAAGAATCACGTACAGCTGTGTGCTCTGCATAATTCTTTGGCTAGAATTGGCCCAGATGCTCTCACGTGTTTGTTTACTGCTCCCACACACCAGAACAGCATGAGAATGTATTTTACAATACATTCTCATGTATTTACATGAGAATGTATTTACAATACAAAAGAACACAAAAAAAATAAATTTTTCTTAACATTTGATTGTAGACTTATGAGAGTGTTTTGGCCAACTTCGACTTGAAGGACTTCCAGTTACACTGGGTATCACCAGTGGCAAAAAAAAGAAGAGGTACCCAAAGATGCCAAAACATAAGCTTAGGAACAGAATATCAAAAAGAACCCAAGAAACGGTGATGCCATTAAAAGCAAGTATCCAAAGCTGAAATAGTACTGAAGGAAGAGACCACTCTCACACTCGACTTCCCATCAGCTCATTTTGCTGTGGGGTGGGGGAATCGCCCCATTCTTGGGGGCTCTGGACCCCAAGTGAGCTCAAATGCATGAACATGCTTACACGAGAAAAGAGAGGAGCAAGAAAACGGTGCTGTTGTGCTGCTCGATTCCTCTGCTAGAAGCCAAACCTGTTCTCCTATTAAACTAAAAGCAAGTTTTATTTTTAGCTGGAGAGTGTGATTTAAAGAGAGATTTTTCGTATATGAAAGGAAGCTGCAAGGAGCGAGCAAGCGAGAAGTGCATTGTGGGGGATTCGGGCTGCTTCCAGCCTTGCTGGTGTCAGAAGTTAAATGAATTCCCAAGCCAGAAGCGCTAAAGAGAGCTCTGTAGCTTGAAATACTTGGATGGGGACAGCCCCCGCTTCGACTTCAGGGTGTGAAGAGCCATTTGTGAGATGTAACAATGCAATCACACAATACCACCGAGATGCCACCCGGCTCCTCGGCATAAGGCCCAGGGGCCGGGTGCGACGGGAAGGGCGTCGCGATGGGGTAGGGAGCCAAAGCTCTCGACACCTCTGTGCCCACAAGACAGGCAGCCCAGAGCAGACTCGCTGTTCCTGCCACCTTGTTGGAACCGTGTAAGCTCCCTGATTTATTTAGCAAATTTTAAATCAGCAGACGGATTTACTTCGGAGAATCTGATTAGTGGCAGTATCGATCGGCACTGCGCAGCGCATCCGGAGAAGCTGCAGAGCAGGGTGAACTGCATCACAATCAACAGCGCCCGCCCGCTGCCCCTCGCTGGGGAGCTGAACCCAGAGCCCCAGACCTGCTTACCCAGCAGGACCATGTTTGTCCTTTGACTCAACAAATTCTTGTCCCATTTTCAGCTTCTCCCACTCTTCTTTCCGGGTTTTGATTTTCCGTGGATTCACATTTCCTCGGTTCGGATTCTCTTTTTTCTCTTTCTAGAGGAGAAGGAATCAAACAGAAGCCTTATTTTGTTTTAAACTCACTGGGAATAGGGAGGGATAGGACAGACCGGTAGCAGTTTCAAGAAGATACATTCTCAAAGAGGACCAGGATTTTTAATTTACTTTCCTGACTGCTGCGAGCTCCAAATATCTCCCATACAAAGAAGCTGGAGCACAGATAGCACAAAGAGACAGACAACATCAGATTTCCCCAGTGCAGCCCAGACATGATGCCATCATTACTTCCTGGCATCACCACCTCGAGGGCAGAGTGAAAGCTCAGTTTCCCACATCAATTCAGTTTTTGGCCTCTGAGTCAAGACTGCCAAATCTCACCATCACCTTGCTGGTGTTAAGTGCCGTGGGGTGCAATATGGACACTTGCCCACACAGAACTGGGCTTCAGCTGGCCTCGCTCTCTGTATTCTAACATGCCCTAAATCTCTCCTTTGTTATTTCGATTGAAAAATCACGATCTGTTTCGAGATTTAATACTCCCGTTGCTCAAAAGCTAAATGAAGTATGCCTAAACTGAATCTTACATAGTGCAAGTTTCAGTGTTGGTAAACGTGGGTCCAAATCCCCAGGCAACCAAACCAGGAACTCCACCTGGCATTTTCAGTTTAAATGGTTTTGTTACGCCTCCTATTTGCCCCTAATTTAATATTAGGGCCTGGTTTTGCACTCCTGAAGGGATGTTTTCTCCTTTCTTTCTTCTTCCACAGAAGAATTTATTACATCACTCGACACACTGCAGTGCTGGGGCAGTGGGATTTGCACTGCTTCAACACTGAACAGACCCCTACGCAACATCAGAAGTGCAGAAAAGGCTCCGACACAACTTCCTCCCCTATGCTGTGTTTGAGGACTACAAATCAAGCCATTATAACCACACAAAGACGGTGGCATTTGGAAAAACAGATTAAGGGTATCTTTGTTTTCTTTTTTTCATTAACAAGGAGGAGAGTAAACCAGATAAAAACTTCACTGAATTGATCCCTAAAGAGTTTAAGAGAGCAAACCTGAATTTTGGATAGCAACTTTGGAGTCCAGGACTTATTAACACCTCCCACCTTCTGTTCTTCCCTGTCACGCCTCTGTTGGCAGAGATCTCCCTTTTCCTCACCCTATGTTTCCGCTTCTCTTTCATAATATCCTTGGTGTCCTGAAGCATTTTCTCTTTCCAAAGGTCAAAGAAATACGAAGGATCCGTGTAGAATTTAAGTGCCTCTTTGCCATCATCCCTAGAACAGAGAGGGGGGAAAAAACCAACACACAAACAAGGACCGAGTCACACGTTTGTTGGAAGCCCAAAGAAAACACAAGGCACGACCCCAAACGACAGTTTAGAAGTCTGCAGTGAGAAGGTCAAACACGCTGCTCTCGCCTCCATCCCCCATTTCAGAACAGGCAGTGGACCCACAGCCTCGCTGGTCCTGGCTCTCCCACTTGCCATCGCTTTTACCCTCTCACAAACTCTCCGTTACTCAGCACCCGAAGAGCTCAACTGCTCTGAACAATCACCAAGAGAGCAGCAGGTCTCTCACTTCAACTCCCACTTGTTTGTGTTGTATTTTTGGCGTGAAAAAAAAAAAAAACAACAAAACCAACCACCTTCTCCAGCTCAGGAACCCTAAATCAGACCAGCAACGTCCTTGAAACTCATGAGCGAGCGCGCACACACACACACTCCCCTCCTACTTTGCAGTGCAGCCGCGTCTGGCAGAAGACAGCTGCCTCCAGCTATCTGTAATTACTTTTTACCTGTTCAAAAGATATTTATGGACGTGGGCTAAGTCTCTGTATTCCGACCCTCTTTACTTCTACTACCTACAAGATGAAATCAGAGCGGGACTGCTCCGGAGAACTGGTTACGCAGCCAGCGAAGGTCACATCAGATGTCTCAGACCAGGCGCAGAAGGCCACAGAAAGCATCTCCAGATCTACAGGAGATCTGCTGCACCCACCTGGGTGAGAGCCATTTACAGATGTATGCTCTGCAGTTTGCACTGCGGCTTGCTGGAAAGGAGCCACAGGGCTACAGAGAAGCACAAGAAAAATGCATCATCTGCACAACACCTAGCGTGTTTATGCAGTGCCAGCCAAGCCTTGCCCCAAGGCAGTCACAAATGTGACAGCAGGTTACCAAATACATCATTTTCTAGCTATGCTTATTTGTACAGCCCCAAAAGCAAAGTTTCACGTAATCCAGAGGATGGAGATTTCGTGGTGGATCTCGGTTTAGCAACTCGATTTTCCATTGGAAACGACTACTTCAATACAGCACAGGATGGGAAATGACCTCCTTGGCAGTTTGGGAGGAAGAGGTACTCCTCTGGAAGGGAACAAGGGGCCGAGAAGGTATCACAGCCATACCTGTACGGTGAGAGAATGTTGAGAGGTGGAGGAGTATTGCAGGTCCTATAGGTTTCAAGGACAGGCACGGGGAGAGAATCTCTGTCAAAGAGCTTCTGGTCCTGAGTAGTGGAGCTTTTGAAGGCCTTCCTGGTGTTAATGCCTTGCAGGGAGACTGTAAGAAAGAGGAAAGAGCAAGTGAAGAACAGCTTGACCCAGGCCAATGACACTGAAGATCAAGTGGTGAACATCTGATTTCTGATTTCAGTTGGAGTTCTTGGCATGCTTAACACTTCTTAAGGTCAGGTCCCTCTTCCCACAGATCTCTTGGGAAACCCAGCAAATCTCAGATCGTGCCATGCCAAGATCTGCTGCTGTATAGACACAGCTCTCTTGAGAGTTGTCCATGTGGTTTTGAACCCCTGTGACCAAGACTCAAGAAGAGCACCACTACCAAACTGCTGAACAGCGAGTTTCCACGTGGAGACTTGCTAACGAGCAAACCTAGGCTGCGCCAGAAAGGCTACCCACATCAGCAGCTCAGTGCTTTTTCGGGAGGGGAGGAAACAGCCCCTCTCCGTCCAAGAGAAGACCTTCCAACACCCATCGCAGCGTCGTGCTCATTTTATGGTGGCGAACCAACCACGCTGACTCAATAAGAATCTTTACCACGCTTGGTCTGCAAGGACCGTGCTCCACTCCATTACCTTCTTCCTCTTTGGGATCCAGCTGAGTGACTTTGACTTGCAAGCGGTCAACTCTCTCGACCAGAACGCTCACCCGAGAGGCGAAGGTGTTGGCTTGAGTAAACAACTCTCCAAATATGTCTTCTGCAAATTTACCTGGAATATTAAAGTGTCCACATTACCCTCGTGGGCCACAGCAGACCATAATCAGTCTCCCAGCTTGTTTTCTTGAAGAAGGAACGAACGAACCAACCAACCATGCTTCTTCTCACGTTTGTCAGGGTTGAGTCTAACATTCAGGAAGAACATGCTCTGTTCCACCAAAACCAAACATCTCCAAGGGATCTTCAAGCAATAAAGAAACAATCGAGACATACTTTCAAGTCATTATGAAAGTAATGAAATAAAGAGGGTGGACAACACTATACTGGTCTGAATCTGGATGGGTCTGTAGGTCCTTTAAGAGTCTCTGCTGTTCTGTTTATTAGACAAGCAAATACAGTCAGATTTTTATTGCTCTGGAGAATCTCAAAGGCTTCCAGTCTCCAGCAGGCCTGCCTCCAGGGTAACTGGCACATATTTACAAGCTCAAAGTACTCTGGAACTAGAGAGCAGACCCAGTCCTTGATCCTAAATCCTGAGCTATAACCACAGACAAAAGCACTGACCCTTTTGTTCCTTCAGGTGGCAGTGTCTGAAAAATTGATGCATTCACGTTTATTCTAAATCAAAACCAAAGGGGAACTTCTCAAACAGGGATATTCTCTCTAACAGCTTGGATTACCCAGTGGGCTGCTATGACAAACATCACCCATCGTTCGGACTGTGAGAGCACCAGGGGCCTTGGACTGGGAGCTCGCTGCACCACTTAAAAGCATCAACAAAAAGATGTTCCCTGTCCTTAAGGGTTTAAAATCTATGCGTGCAACAAGAGATGACCACAGGTAGACAGAGGTAGGAGAACTAGAACACCACCAAGAACTTGCGATGAGTACTGTCTCTTTGTTCTGCTCTCAGGCACAACCCAAGACAGGGAGCCCTAACCACGCTGAGGACAATGCTGACCAGAATAGACTTGGCACTGACAGCAGACATGGGCCCATGGAGTTCCCACTGATGGAAAACATTTCCAGTCACGGCTCCTGAGTACAAGGCTGCTCCCAATAAGCAGTCTGGTTTTGAAATGCATAATCATATGGTCAACGGTTTGCTCTGGAATCTGTTACTCCTTAAGATCCTCTCCAACATTCAGGAAAGAATAACCAGTTGGAAGACTAACTTCCAGCAATTCTGGAAAATCTGGTTGCCTGCAACAAGTCACATCAGAAAGACACGCGTCCCTTCCACAAGGCAACGTGAGGGCATCCCCCAAAGGCCAGCTGCACAAATACTTTCAGCTATCTAAACTGGCATATCAGCTACTTGTTCATACTCCCGTGCAGTTCTCCTTACACTGCCAAGCATGGGGAACCAGCCAGGTTAAAAATCAACCTTCTCCACCCCTTTGGTGGCAATGCCAGCTTGAAGTGTTTGTAGAAAGCAAATGCTGGACGTTAACTTCAACTGACCTCCTCCTTTCACTCTCCTAGACAACAGTCTTCACTACACTCCATTAACAAGCCCAACCAGCTTTTCTCAAATGCATAAGATGTATTTTATTTCTGGAGGCCAGGTAGCTCTTGCTACAGCAGGTTCCACAAAGCACTCTTCATGTTCGGCATCAGCACAAGACCAGCTCTCCTATTTGACCAAAGAGGGTGAACATTTATCTAGGGGATAATCTGACATCTCCCAGCAACAGTTCAAAAAAGAAAAGTTATAATTTGGTTTCTACTCTAATAAGAACTGAAAATAATTTCTGAATTTCACAAGGAACTGCAACAAGCACTACGGAAAAAACAAAGTCTTTGGTTTGCAATGCTGACTAGTACATTTCAAGCATAAAATAATACGTAAACAGCATTGTATATACCGGTCTTGACCCAGGAGGGGGAAGAAAGGACGGTCCATATTCCCTTGCCTGTGTAAGTGCACCTGTACAGAGTTATCATCCAGCATCTCGCATACCGCTCTGTGTTTCATGTATGCTTTTAGACAGGGTAAGGCAGAGATTAATTTTTTGGTTTAGTTCCTTTGACTGCAAAAGTGCAGCTTACAATCAGAATTATCTTTGTCATGCACTGGCAGGAAGACAGAAGGCATGACTTAATAGGTCTTTCCATCTTTAGCTTGTGGATTCTGTAAAATCCCAGAGAAACGCACAGTCAACTTATACAAAGTGCTCCCAGCTGTGATAGTAACGAAGGGTAAACTCACTGGAATATGAAAGTTTGACAAGATTTATGTTTGCATCTTTGTAAAGAGACTGTGGTGCACTAGGCATGGCTGATTATTCACTTGACAGGGCTGTCACAGCCTACTGAACCTACTTTACGTTCCTGTAATATCCAACGTACGAGGAAGGAGCGGATTTATTTTTCACAAGTAAGAAGAGAAAGTGAGGAGGGGAGAGCAGGAGCTTGGGTGTGAGCACAGTGTAGCAGTTAGTCTAAACATTGCTTCATTTAAAATACTCCTGACCCTGGGGAAGAGACGATGCTCCACGTTCCCTCCCCACCTGCCTCGCTCCCCTCTCACAGACAAGCACTCAAGTGTCACCAAGAGCCACCTCTCCCGAGTTCTCCCTCCAGCGCCCTCCTCGAGGTCCCAGCAACTGGTCTGGCAGCGCACACCTCCCTCCCCGCATCGCCCAGCGAGGCTCCCAGGGTACCTTCCCAATACAGAAACCAGGCTGCAATCTGGCTTCCAGCACTTCACCCTTTCTGACGAGGCAGAAGCAGAGAAGCTCTGAACACCAGAGCTGCACAAAGAAGGTCTAAACCTGAAGGATCTCACCACGGCACTGTCACACTAACCCACTGCATGCCTTTGGACTGGGATTAGCTTCCTCTGCAGCTGAGATTTGCACAGCTTTACTGCCTTCTTCCTCATCATTTCACACGCACGAGGTGGATTTTACTCGCACTCCACAACCATCTTGGCTACAAGACCTAACAAATGAACAGCAAGGGCCAGTTGAACACGAGCAGAGAGACTGGTCTTGCCTGTGCAGTGACATTTCTACAACCCAACAGAATGCGATACCGACTGGCAGCAAACGCAGGCCCAGATTTTAGCGACAGCCGTGGTTTTCACTGCTGGTAGGAGACTGCACCCAAACTTTCCTTGCCACATTCGCGCTGCGGCGGAAAAGAAAGCGTTTGCTTTGCAGAGCAAGCTTGCAGACACCAAGGAGAAGCTAAACAATATATTAATTTGATTATCAAAGTCTTGCTTCAAGGGCAGAGGTGGCTAATCAGAAACCAGAGCATTTCAACAGACTACGGAATCATCCCGGAGAGACCACAATTAACTCTTCGTTTCTCCTATGGCACGTAGGCCCACGTTTTCCCTCCAGCCTTTGCAAGGCTACTGGTCAGCCCACCGGAGAGCTGAGCTCGGCACCGCAGCAGCTCGTGCCGCCATTTGAACGAGCAGCCCCAAAGCCCCAGCACTCCAGGGGCAACGCTCGGCTCAGACCGGGGACTTCGGGTCTTGCAATGCGACAAACAGCAGGGGCAAACAGGCGGCTTCCGCGTGTGCGCTTTAATTATCTTTCATTAAAAATAAGACTACTGACACACTGTAGATTCAACACAGTCAAGCTCCATTTAGTAGCGCGTGCAATTACAGGCACATTCTCTGACACAAGATCCCGGCTGCTCGGAGAGCCTCCCATTTTACAAGCCTGACTTGTGCTCCATCCTTCCATCTGCAGTTTCGCTGCAGCCTCTCACACACACACACACACTCCCCACTCCCCATTTTCTCTTAGATGGGAAGGCAGTGGGACCAGGGATATGAAATTAGCATCAGATTTCTTTAGGAAAACATTTTAGCATTACCCAGGGAAGGCAGATGGGGGAGAAATAGGAACATGAGAGTAGAAAGGGAGCTAAATAAAGAGCAGTAGCGACTCCTGAGGGCAACGCGCAGGCTCGCCATGGTACTCACTCAGGCTGCCCAGCTGTCGAATGACATTTGCCAGGGTGATGTTGGTCATGCATTCCAGCTCGCTTCGAACGCTAGGCAACGTCTGACGGCACAGGTGCCTTGGCTCAATGTTCCTCGTTACTAACGGCATGGTGGACCTGCTTCAGGCACTGTTCTGAAAGATGAAAAACAACCCAAAAAAGAAACAGGAAAGGATTACTCAACCGCAAATTCCAGGCACACCAGAGCCATGGTGTTCGTTTTTCCTGCTCTCAAATGGCTTTATTTATAAGCCTTCTTTCCCCTCTCCCCACCCTTATAAAACTGGTTCATCAGAAATAAAGATCCCGCTGTTCTACGACTTGCAGTGACAGCAAAGCCCCACCAGCTCAGGTACAGAGGCAGAGATGGAAAACTACACATCTTCACCCACACGCAAGGTGCTGCTGGCATTACCGCAGCCGTTGCTCCCTTCCTACCCATCCGCCACCTCCGAGCAGTCTCCTTCCTCCCGCGCTCACGCACAGCGTCTTCGGCGAGTCTTACAAGCTCTTCTTCAGAAATATTTTAAACTTGCAATTGATAGGTTTGCTTAAATGGAGAGGATGAAGACGGGAGATGTTAAAAAAAAAAATAAAAATCAACCAACCATCAAAAACCAAATGCCAGCTTCTTCCAGCACGCCAAAGCATGTGTGGTGCCTCCCTCTTGGAGCAGCAAACAGGGCTCTCCTGAAACAACAGGAAGAGCTTGCAGCTGACCAGGAAACTTTCTGGTGACTGTTCCTTATCCTGCAGGCTGCACCCCTCTTCCCTTGGGAAATTCCCCCGGGGCTGAGGTTTACACTAGACCATTGTTTTCGTGCTACAGCAGTTTAAAGATGAGGGAGCTCTAATCAGGATGCAGGACTAGAGTGTGCTCAGAAAGAAGTCAAGATTGATTGTACAACAGTCAGGATAAACTTCCAGTTCTTTCTTTCAAAAAAAAAAAAAAAGAAGAAAACATAAGCATCCGGAAGTTATACTTTAGACAGAAAAGGCTTTTATGTGCAGGTCAGTGTCCTGAACTAACAAAAAAATCTCCTCTGCTAACAGGCCGAAATGTTGAAGCAACAAACAGCTCCCTCTCAGATCATCCACCTCCAAGAGAGAGAAGGAAACTTGGGTAAACAGAGCTCAGAACAAGGAGCACGATACATGCCTGAAATCTTTAAGCCTAAGTGAAAGCAAATACATCCCAACTTCTTGATTAATTTAGAAGGGGAAAGAATCACTTTTCTAGGTCAGCTGAGGAACAACCCCAGAGAAGCAGCCAGCTCCCATGTGATAGGCATGCTGATCTGCTTGGCCTGGGTGTAAAAATAAAACAGGAAGCTAACAGCTTGGGGAACATGGCTTCCTGTCACCACCAGCAAAAACCCAAGAACCATAAAAAATCAGCTGTTTGCTCTTGACTTTGAGCCACCCTTTGATAGTCTCCGTGGCAGCTGGCAGCTTATCGTTGAGGTCCAGGAGTCCTTCCTGGATGCTTTTCTATCAGGGTGTTAAGAGGAAGAAGTGGGCATTATCTCTCCTAATTACCTCACCAGCCAGATTTTGAATTGCTAAATTTGACCCGTTGAGGCAGAGGAGTTCAGGAGCGCAGGGATACCTCCCAGACATTCAGGTTGCCATTTTGCAACGCCTCTACGCGAGCGATTCCGCGCGCTTGTCCCTGCGCAAGGAAAGGCTCCCCAAAACCGTACACCTTCTGGAAGAGGGGAGCGAGGTCTGCATCCAAATAAATAAAAGCAGAGACTCTCCGAGGACCGAAGTCCGTGTTGTTCTTCATCATGTCCAAGCACTGCAGCAGCCATCAGTAACTGCTGGGATATTTAAAGAGGGTGAACTAAGGAAGGACGCTGACCTTCGCTTCTAAATACCCCGTGTTTTATCGATTACAGCCCAAGCCCTACAATCTTTTGTCAGCTTTAGTGCTTTACGCCAGACAAACTTTCCCAGCTCCCCCCAGACTGCAGTCTGCACCAACAAGCAGCTCTCATAAACAAGGCAGCATTTGCAGGCTGCCTGCATCGAGCTTTTCCCCCTCCGTGCTTCCCCAGGGCTCAGCCAGGGAGCACACGCGGTGGGATGTGCAGAGCCGGAGCGGACAGCCCATCCACCAAACCCAGCTGGAAACCCTCCAAGGTGCCGGACGGACAGAAGGCAAACAGCAAGAGGAAAAATAAGCCTGTAAGGGAGAAGAGATGTGAGCGTGCACGTATAAAGAGACAAAAAAAGCCTCAATGATGATAAGCAGCCGGGTCAAACAGACACAGGTAGCACTAATCTCTGCAAGTATGGGGAGAACAGGGCAGAAAATAGTGCCTCAAATACCCACAAACAAACAAAGGCTCAGAATAGGTTGTCTATATACAGCCCCTCCCCAAAGTGTCTGCCTTCAAAGCATGTTGTGAAACTAAAAGCAAGGAGTAGCGGTGAAAGTTGGGTTTTTTTCAGAAAAATAACAATAGTACAGCACACGTACGTTATGAATTTGCACCAGTGCAAGACAGCAGCAATAAGGGCTAAGAAAAACACTCCCTTTATAACCTGGCTCATCCTGCCAGCCACCCCCACCCTCCCTGCCACACTCCACTGCAGAATCGAGAGTTTCGCCCTCGTGATCACCACGACAGCCCTCCTCCCATCGAGCTTCTTCCCAAGGCCACCGGGGTCCCGCCGTTGCTCCTAACACCAGTCAGGATCCAGCAAGCAGCAGTCAAATTGAAAGAGGAGATTAACCCTGTGGAGCACCGGAGATGAGCAAGGCAGGGAGGGCAGGATGGGCTGTGGACAACCACCCTTCTGCTCTCCCAGCTGCCTCTGGGATCAGGGGCATTTTAAAGCAAAAATTTCCTCTCCTCTGAGCGGAAGGACAAGGTGCTCCAAGGTTTCAGATGTTTTTTTAGGGTGGAGGCAGGCAGATAGGAAATCTGGGACCTATGACCAGAGCTTGGTGCCAAAGAGTAGTTATGTCCCCACAAGAAGGCACTTCACTGTTAGACCTTGTTTTTGCCCATGAGCCTCCGGAGGGTAGGCGTAGAGATAACAGCTAATGGGCTCCTGTAAAACTTTCATGGCTGACAAGTAGGTGGGACAAAGATTAACAGTCTGGACTGTGGGGTATTTCGAAAGCAGCAGTCAGGAGGGGCAGAATATCGAGTGTGGAGAAGGGACAAGGTATGAGAGCAGAGGGAGAAGAAGGAAGCAAAACACCAGAGACAGCACAAAGCATACAGCTGGGGCAGGGAAGAGACACAGTAAACGCAACAAGGAAGGGACAGACCTAAAAAAGCTTTCCAGGAGGCCCTTGCTTTTATCCTTTAAGAGAGTCATTAAGCCCATTGACAGCATTGCCACCAGCCAGGGCCATCCAGAACCGCTTTACTTTCAGTGGTCAGGGCATGACAGCGCAGCAGTTTCCACCCCAGCCAGCCAGACTGGTCATCAGGCATTAGTCATTGTCACGTAACTGCCGCAGACCATATATGATAACTAAATCCTACCATTCAGAAGCAAGTCAAATGAATTGCAAGGCCAAAAAATCCTTATCTTTCAGGCAAAGATAACCGTTTCCACTTGCTTATTAATGCTGAAGATGAGATTTGTTTCAGTAGTAGAGTTTGGGGTGCGTACGCTGTTTTTAAGCTGCAAGAATGGCACGCTATGGGCACAGAGGACCTGCCCCGATCCCGCTGTAACGGGAGAAGAGAGAGGGCACGTTAAAAGTAAAAGGAAACTGCCTCTAAGAAACAGAAAACTGTCTGCAACAGATTTCTAATGAATATGGAGGGGGGCGAAGAGAGAGAAAGGCATCAAATTGAAACACAGCACTAGCTATGTGAGAAGAGAAGTGATCTTTGGTGGCTGCAGAGCACCGCTGGTTGGGAGAGCCATAAGGAAATGGGCCAACACTGAAGCTGGTCGCGTGCCAAATCCACAAACACTGCAGCAGCAATCCACGTTCAAAATACTCCTCCTCCCAACCGCCATGCTTCACACCTTCCTAAAAACGAGAAGGAAGGGCTTTTCTTACAGTAACAAATGGTTTTTCTCTCCCACTTGAATCAGAACCTTCCTACCTGCTCACGGCAAGCGTTTCCTCTGAAGTCTCCAAGTCACGGCTTGAATCAAAGAAGGCTCCAAGCCTTGTTTTGACGGCAGTGACTAAAAGCCCAACCATCCGAAAAGCCCAGCTTTGCCCCGTGGCTCTTTTCCCCTCGCCTCCTCACAGCTGTACGCTGCCCCACCTCCAGCTGGGCATTGCCAGAATTCCTCATAATTTCCCCTCTCCCAAAACGCTTACGCACGCGTTGCCGAGCCCTGGCCCGCTCCACGGCCCTGTGCCGGCCCAGGAAAAGTTTGCTGAGCACAACAAAAGCCCTGGAAGCTGAGCTCACCGCTCCTACATTCCTACCCATCTTCCAGCCGCAAATGGAACCTTGTTTCCAGAATTCACCGGGCTTTTGCTCCGTATCACCGTTCCTATCAGCTCCTGTGCTGACTCACCACACACACAGTGGTCTTGGATGCCTCGTGTTTCTCCAAGAAGGCAGGATCCATGCATAGTGCTTCTTCACATGGCTGCTGATCTGACACCCCCTGCTCCATCCACAACAAGCTCTTTCCTTGAATGCCTTGCTCACCAGTTTTTAAGTGGATTCTGACTTTGGCAATTATTTCTGTAAATACTCTCGGGGCGCTGGGGAACAAGTGTGGCATAACACAGACCCGTAAAGGGAAAAAAAAAAAGTGAATTGCAATTTTTGCCTTTCTGAATCCAGCACTTTGAGAAGAGCACGAGGTAAACCCAAGATGAGTGTGCTGCTGCTCTAAGATTTCTTATCGGCAAGTCATCGACCGCTCTCCCCATGAGCTCTGCTGTGGCAGATCACTCAGGAATCCCAGTTCTGGATTAGAATCAAGTACAATTGGTTTGTTTCAAACAAGAGCCTCCAGTCTATAAACCCCTCGAACAAAGCTACATCTTATTGACTATTTTTAATAAATAGGGATGGCACAGTGAAATTGGACGATTGTTACGAACAATAAAGGAGACAGCCTTTGATTACGAGGATTGAGAAGCAATACAGGGACATTTTAGGATTGAGTATTTGCTTTCCAACGCGAGTTTC